TTTAAATAAAACTTTAATGAATTATATACACTGATGGCCACTGTAAATGCAACACCCTGAAGGAAGCATGCAAATAACATGAAATTTACAACATGCATTAGTGGTGAGATATGCAAATGATTAGAATCTCAGTGCAGAAGCACATAATGCGCGCCTATGGCGCAACTTCAAAGTGCTATTTAAGGCTTGGAGTTTTTGACGATTTCAAGTTTGGCAATTGTGTTTTTCTTAAAACGATCAGTTATTCCTCGTAGTAAACAGTGATCATCGTTTGATCAATTATTTGAGTTCGACAGAGGAAAGATAGTGGCCTACCGAGAGTGTGGATTATCTTTTAGGGAAATTGGTAGTCGTCCATTGCTTCATCTACCCTTGATGCAGAACCACAGACGTCTCCGTCGCCAATGGTGCGATGAAAGAAAGATGTGGACAGCAGAATGGAATGAAATTTTCTTTACTGACGAGTCACGCTTCTGTCTGGAACACCATGATGATCAGGTTCGAGTCTGGAGACACTGTGGAGAGAGGATGCTGAATAGCTGCGGTTTGCACCGCCACTCTGGTCCTGCACCGGGTATTATGGTATGAGGCGGTATTGGATATGACTCTCGCACTTCTCTAGTACACATTGCCGGTACTTTAAACAGCCAGCGCTTCATCTCCGAGGTGTTGGAGTAAGTTGTCCTTCCTTACCTTCAGGGCTTGCCCACAGCCATATTTCAACAGGATAATGCACGACCACAAGTGGCACGCATTGTCCAAGGGTTCTTCGTCAATCGCCAGATTGAATTGCTACCCTGGCCGGCTCGCTGTCTGGATCTTTCACTGATAGAAAACATGTGGTCCATGGTTGCTGAACGATTGACCCAGATTACATCCCAAGCTGCAACACCAAATCAACTTTGGCAACGTGTGGAAGCTGCTAGGTCTGCAGTACCCCAAGAAAACATCCAAAGTCTCTTTGAATCAATGCCGAAGCGTGTGGCAGCGTTGATCTTCAACAGTGGCATCTACTCTGGCTAATGATACTGGAAGGAACCACACTTCACAGAGGTCTATAATTTTAATCATTTGATACTTGGTCAACATGTTATCTACTAAATAAATTTTGTTGTGATATCTCTTGCTTTCTTGGTGTTGCAATTTGGGTGGCCAGCAGTGTACACTATGTTACATAGTAAATCACCGTTACACAACTGGTCATGTTACATTCTGAATCCATGCCAACGCTGAATCAAACCAAAACTTTTTTTTTACACTGCTGAGAGCTGCTTCAATGCCGTTTGTGGTAGATCTCAACATACTCCCCACAGATGGCCGTTCAGGACATCAAACTACCTCTTGGTGAAATTATTACTTAACATTATTCGTAGTTAACACATAATTTCTAGACTGAACAGTTCATGCGTATTAAATAGGTAACACTAAGCAAAAAATAACATAGATATGTAAACAATGAATTACACAAAATCGTAATTTAAAACTGAAGTATTCAAAATGAATATCAATTTAAAGATTTTTACAATACTTAATTTTCTAGTGGTAATACACACAGTTTATGAATAGGTCTCAAGCATCAGTGAATTCATCATCATCATCAGTTTTTAATTTTACAACCTGGACTCTGCAGTCATTACCTAGGTAAATTTCCGTGATATGTCCCATTCTCCATTTTAAGGATGGTGTCTTCCTTAATAATTACTAGGTCGTTTATTTCAACATTTACCAAAGCCACTTGTGCATATTTGAAATTGAGTCAAATAGTCCTCCATGATATTCTAGAAGAACTGAGATATTTGTTGAACTACTTTTGAATGATTATGAAGTTTTAATTTCTCATAATTTGTTTCCAGAATAGCCTTTAACGATGTTCCTATCAAAAAATGACTGGGTTTAATTACCGAAAAATCATCTGGATCGTTTGAAATCACTACTAATGGTCTTGAGTTCAGACACCCTTTCAATTTGTGCTAAATATAGGGCCAATTCTTCACAAGTTAAAACCTGAGAACCAATTTTTCTTTGCATTTGACATTTCGTAACATTTACCATGGCTTCCCACAGTCTACCAAAGTGTGGCACACAAGGCGGATGGAAATTCCGCTTAATTTCTTCCTCTATTAAGTATCTAGCTACTTTTTGATCAGAATGATATGCTTTCATATGTCTGACACCTATAAAATTAGTGGTGAAATCACTATATCTTTTCTTTGGTTTGCCCTATCTAGCGATAGATCGTTTTAGAGCTGCTATGAAGGAATCTGTCATCATGTCTCCAAACTTGTTCAAAATGCACTGCCTTGATACTAAATCGTACGAAAACGCAAACATAGATCTTCACTATTGGGCTTAACTTCGAAGAGACCAAAAAAATGTATTCCTTATTTTGATAAAGCTCTTGCAGGAATCACCCTGCATGCTAGATCTCCCATTGTTTGATATGACAGCTCATTTCTGTGTCAACAGCATGTTGCACATTTCCAAATGATCTTCTAAATAACTGCTCATGCATTAATAATCCAATATCTCTGTTTGATTTCTGAATGGAGCATTAGTGTTCTTCCTTAAAGCTATTTATAGTGGTAATGTGGTATTATTAGTTTTGTAATATAATGTGATTTAAGCAGAATAACTGGATATTTTGAATTCTATGTCATGTTAGCTTTTCTCAGTGTTCCCCCCACTCTTAGAATACCATTATAATCTAAAAATAGATGCAGTATATTGTGTTTACCGTGAGGACTTGGCGGTTTTTCCTTTTTCACATTGAAACTTTAAGTATTCAAAATGAATATCAGTTTAAAGATTTTTCACAATAGATCTTCACTGCTCAAACATCGTGCCCTTCCTTCGGTGTAACTTTGAAGGGACCAGAAATATCCTCTCCATATTTTGATAAAGCTCTTCCAGAAATCACTCTGGATGCTGAAAGATCTCGCATTACTTGATGGGAGAATGGGATCCCATTGCTTGATGTGCAGTGGTTTTTCTTTTTTCAAATGACCGATTTCTTTGCTAAATTCTTGCAATTGCACAAACTTGATTACCTAAGAATGAGCTATGGCTAACTGTCTAATCTGGAGGAAATTTAATTTTGCCATTGTTGTTGGTTACCATTTTAGAATGGCAATAAATCCAAGCAGTACAAAGTTTGCAGTATAGCACTGCCGTTTGACTCCCGACAAAACGAGCTGCATTAAGTCATTGCATATGAATTTCCCTTCCCTCCTTCAAGTGGAGCTGATTTATTACTATTTTTGCATAGCAAGGGGTAGTGAGCTAAATTGTTGCAATTCTTGCATGGGTCGAGTTTAGTTTTACAGAACTATGCTAAATAGAATTTTAAGAAACAGCAGAAACATTATCTCTTAATCTATTTTTCCTTTCTGCGACACTTTCAAATTTGCAAAATTTGTGTTCTTTGCTATAACAAAATATGCATTTTTTTTTTTAACATTTGTACTATAACTCGCAGTTGATATATTCCAATTAGTATTAAGCTTTTTATTTTCAAATTTTCTGAAATTGAATTTATATTCTTTACCAAAATTAGGATAATTTTTCAGTTTTACTACTAAATAAATATGTTATTTTCCTACACCATACCTCTTTGTATAGAGAAGTAAAGAAATCTTTAAAATTCCAGTTACTATCTGGACATGTTCTATTGAATTCTAAAACAACTTCTTTTGGAATTCTTTGCAATAAAATGGGAATCAGAAACACTTTCTTTCAAACCTCTAATGACTCTAAATTTTTAATTAGAGTATGGGCTTTATCAAACAACCCTCTCAATCCAGCTAAAACATTTATACTTCTAATAAGAGGAATTTTAAGTAACTGAGTCAAATGTGTGTACATAAAAGTATTCTTGTTTCCAAATATACCTTTTAATATGTGCAGAGCAGCATCATAATTTTCTGCTGTTAACACATAACCACTTATACAATTAGATGCCTAGAAATTAGTTTAAATAATTAAATTTTCTATTTTTGTAAGATTACTATTATTATAAATAGCGCTTTTAAACTGGTTATAAAATTCTAGCAAAGAAGCAGGATCACCATAATATTTTATTAATTATCAATTTTGTAAGTGTAACTCTTTTGGGTTCTGTAAATGTTTGATTTTTTTGGTGTACCCTGAGCAGTTACAGGAATAGAAAAGTATACATTATTAATATTCATTTCATCTTTCATTAATCTATCAATAACAATGGTTATCTTTTGTTTCCAGTGGATAATTTTTCTGAATATTCCTCTACCACCGTAGTATCCTCTTCTATATCATCAAAATTACAGAGAGTTTTGACTTCATTGTTTAATCATTTTAAATTAGTTTCCTGATCTATTATTTGAGCTTAGAATTCTTTTAAAGTATCTACTTTATTTGTTACATTTTTCTTGCTAGAATCTTCAATAATAAAAGCTTCGACTTTGTTAATTAACTTAGTTAACATATATCTAGTTGCGCTGTGTTCCGTTCTCAGCTTAGTCTGACATATTACAACAATCCAAATATCAAACAGAACATCAAAACACATCCTACCTTCACTTGCTGCAAATTTCCGTGATCACTAAAGCTTGTAACTACACTACTAGAATTCACAGCTTCCTGTACCTGGCTAAAAAAGGTGAAATGCAATTTTTAATACTGCTCCACATTTTAAATAAAACTTTAATGAATTATATTCCATAGTAAATGTAATGATAAGTAATAGTACATGTAATAGTAACCCATAGTAAATTCAAAAGTAATGTGATAGTACCACATTACATTTTTCAAAACAGTTGCTGACTGTATGTTTTATGTGTATCTGTTGCGACCATCGGTTTTATGTGTAGTATGTTGTAGTGCAAGTATTTCTGTGTTGAGGTATTCTTTTTCTTATATTAATGGATGCATTAACAAGTTATACTTTTATATTAAAACTATTCATTTGTATGCATATTGTTTTACTTTAAATATAAATTATCATGAGTAATTTGATTTGTTTGCAGGATGCCTACATATAATCAAGTTGAAGGGGAAGATGCTACTGATAATGATGTAGAATCAGATGGCCAACAGACTATTTACACTAGACATAAACCACATTTGTCAAGAACTACTGTAAAAGATGCACCAGAAACTCTAGAAAATGAAACTGTGTCTGGAACTAATGAAAAAAGCATTAAACTTGTAAATAATCAGCGAAGCAGTAATAGGTTGACTAAAAGATTAAAAAGGGACACTAGTCCTGTTGATCCTAGTTTGAAAAAATCAGGTAATGCATAAAATGTAACCAGTTAGTGTGTAATATATGCACTATAACTCATTCTGTGCTTTATGCAGTAAATCCATTTCTGTAATCTTCTTCATAATTAATCTTTTGTAATTTTTTGTGATTAGATACTCATTAAAGCTGCATAATTGCTTTTATTTTCCTTTAGAATAGTTGGAATAATAGTTTTAAAAGCTTATTTTTGAAAAATATTGATGCAATAAGTATACTGTTTTGTGCAATTAATATCTAAAATACTAATTGTGAAAATTGTGCTCTGTAAGTGTATATGAAGTATCACCTGCAATATACAGTCAAAAGTCGTTAATCCCCACTCGTCGGGACTTCGGCGATTCCGGATTATCGATTTTTCCAGATTATAGATCATCAGTTTAAATCTGGTAAGATGGCATGCAGAAATTATAAAATTAAAAATATGAAACCATAATTTATGAAATAAAGAACAATTATGAACAATTATGGGTATCAAAATTTACAAAAAAAAAAAAAAAAAAAAAGCTTAATATTTATTTGTTTACTTTATTAAACATTTCTTTTAAGGTAAGTTGTTTAAGTTGCTTCTTTTTTTATGTGATAATACATTCTCTTTAATTTTATAAACAGACATAATTTCTTGTTCAGTTACAAAGTTCCGCTGTTCAAGTCCTATAATTGCTGTGTTGAGAATACCGACTAATTTGTCAATCGAAATTTCTTCGTTTTCAATAACCTCTGTGTCACTTTCTTCGCTATTGGAAGCGAATTATAATGACGAGGAATTTGATTTAAATCATATCAAAGACGGAGTATATTGAGATGAAATACTACATTTAGTAAGGAATTATAAGCCAAATAAAATAAAATATCTGCCCTGAATATAAGGATAGTGCTAACAGATCAACTTCCAATTCATTGCGTGCCGTGGCGTTAAAAATAAACAAAGTTTAAATAAACAAAGGATGTGCCTTTATCCATTTTTTGCAGCAATTCCACTTTTTGTTTAATGGACTTTGAAACATACTTTCGCTTTGTAGATCCTTTACATATTATTAAATATAAATCAAAAATTCTATTTGATATAATCGAAAGTTCAAGCTTACTTTTATAAAATTGCTCTAACAGTCTGCAAAAAATAATAAGCCGAATCCAATTTGAAGATTAAGGAACAACGCAATCTGCAACATTAACTGAATTAGATAATTTTAGCTTATACCGTCCGTTATACATTAAACGTGCATTCGTAAACGTATTTTGCGCACGCATGTTTGCAGTCATAAAGGTCTTACGCGCATGCATCAACATGATGCATGCGCAGAAAGTTTGTTGCTTTCAGGTCCAGATTATAGATCATTCCGGATTATGGGTGTCCGAATTAACGACTTTTGACTGTAGTAAATTGATATTGTGTGGGCTTCTAGAATATTGAAATTAAATACCATTCTTTCAGTGGTCATATCTGTTTCTCTTGCTGGACAGCATGGCTTAGCATGATATCAGCGTTCTAATTCATCTCGCAGATGCTGTATAATGTTTAAGTTAAGGCTCTGAACAGGCCAGTCTACCTTTCTCAACATCCATGTCAGCAAATCAGCTCTATATAGCAGGTACATTATGGATGGTAGCACATCTCTGTTGAATTATCTATGTGCCCACCTCTAATTATTGCCATAATACTATACATTCTTTTAAATGCAACTTTTGAAGCCTTTTTCAAGTTGTACCACTCTAAAGGTTTTGGAAGTCTGATGTACCCTCTCTTGGGGGGGGGGAAAGATTCCATATTACCAGGTTTAAAATCTGTCCAGGAAATTTTGCAATTTATTTAGCTCCTGATTACATATATGTCTAACAGCGTTCCTGCGCTACCTGGAAAACCAGGAAAAGACAGGAAGTTCGAAAATTGACTAAGAAGTCAGGAAATTTAAATATTTTAGTCAAAATTTGGAAAAGTCTGGTAATTTCATACAGCAGTCCCCAAGAAAAGCAATTAGCCAACGTTGGAAGCGATCACTTTCTTGCCGAATTGTGTATCGTGTAAGCGTCATTCAGGCAGCTGGTGTAGAGCCAGTTTTTGCAACTCCAATCAGATTATCTTTTAGAAAGGCAAAGCAAGTTTCCGGCAACTTCGGTTTCCAGTAACCTCGATAATTGAAAGATCCGCATGTGCATGTGCAGTGAATGTTTAATGAAAGAAAATACCTCCCTATTCTCATGTAAAACAAAATTGATTTAATCCTAGCAAAGTCAAAAGTCGTTAATTCGGACACCCATAATCCGGAATGATCTATAATCCGGACCTCAAAGACGCATGCGCATAGGTGCATCTGCCACGTGTGCACGTAAGACCTTTACGGCTGCGAATGTGCGTGTGCGCGTGCGCATAAAACGTTTACGCATGCTCGTTTAATGTGTAACGGACGTTATAAGCTAAGCTAAAATTATGTAATTCAGTTAATGTTGCAGATTGCGTTGTTCCTTAATCTTCGCATTGGATCCGGCTTATTATTTTTTGCAGACTGTTAGAGCAATTTTATAAAAGTAAGCTTGAACTTACGATTATATCAAAAAGAATTTCCGAGATATATTTGCTAATATGTAAAGGAGATCTAAAGCGAAAGTATGTTTCGAAATCCGAAATCTGTTTATCAATTTCACGCTGCTTGGCGGGGGGAACGCCGCGGTGCGCAATGAATTTGAAGTTGATCTGTCAGCACTATCCTTATCTTCAAGACAGATGTTTTTATTTTATTTCGCTTATAATTCCATACTAAATGTAGTATTTCATCTCGATGTTCTCCGTCTTTGATATAATTTAAAACAAGTTCCTCTTCATTATAATTGAAGGTGACTGAGAGGTTAGTGAAAACGAAGAAATTTCGATTGACAAATTAGTCGGTATTCTCGACACAGCAATTATAGGGCTTGAACAGCGGAACTTTGTAACTAAACAAGAAATTATGTCTGTTTAATAGAATTAAAGAGAAAGTATTATCACATGAAACAAAGCAACTTAAACAACTTACATTGAAAGAAATGTTTAATAAAGTAAACAAATAAATATTAAGCTTTTTCTTTTTGTAAATTTTGATACCTCTTAGATCATAATTGTTCTTTATTTCATAAATTACGGTTTCATATTTTTAATTTTGTAATTTGCATGCCATCTTACCAGATTTAAACTGATGATCTATAATCCGGAAAAAATCGGTTATCCGGAATCTCCGAAGTCCCGGCGAGTCTGGATTCACGGCTTTTGACTGTATACGGTGCACAGAGGATTTGACGACAGTGTGATGAGCAGTAAACCAGACATTTATATCAGCTGTAAATGGGTCTTTTGGTGTTGCCGACAATTTTCAAAATCGTGCCAGAGCCGCACCATGTGCCAGGATTTTACCACAAAATCTCTTAAACTTTTTTTCTTTTTAATAAATGCCTTATTTGTCATTTTTCAGTAAAATAAAATAATAGTAATCAGTCATTTAGGCTAACCATTTAATATAATTGATATTTGCTAAAGTATTGTTGATTATTGTATTTCAGTTTTTAATCTTTAAGTAGTTAACTTTATTTTAATGCTATTCATATCATTTAATGTGGCTTCTTCCTTCAAAGTTTATTTATTATTAGTTAAAAAAACTTTAAAATTTCAGGCAATTTTCTCTGGCATACTGCTGAAACTAGTTCTAGCAGCATGATGACATACCATCACAGAATTTAATGCACATATTTTTTCCTTATGTATTCTGCTAAATAAATATAAAATACCTGAATTTATTTTAAAATTTCATTAAATAGATTTTCTTGTTTCGTTTCACTGCAAAATGTCTGGGAAAAAAAAAAAAAAAAAGACATTTTTAACCCATATTGAGCAGATTCTAATCTCAATCTTCGGTGGAGAAAATAACTCCTATTATATTTATAAATGTGATGCTTTGGGATATATATGTGTGTGTGTGTGTATGTCTGTGTCATATGTAATTGGCAAATTTTTGTGTTTTCAAGTGGTACCATAAATTATCTCTCAGCACAGCCAATGCTCACTATATAATATAATTAAACCATTTATCTAATATAATTAACCATTTATCTTGTATTGCAGGAAATGTAGGAAAGTTTTAAATGCTTTCTAAATGAATTCTCTCTGAAATAAGAAAAATGTGAAGTGAGATATTAAGAAAAAATGTGAAATATTTACTTTTTTAACCAACCATTTCAATTCTATTTTTGGTCTTGATGAATTTTTAATTTTTTGGGAAAATGCACCTCCAGTGCTTAAATCTGCTTATAACTGTTTTGTATTTTAAACTTTCAAGTAGTGCTGTGATTGTAAATGGAGGTTATTTTCAGATCATTATTAATTTAAAACCTTTCTCTCATAGGCACATTATTGAGAAAGGTAACAAAACTTGAAGGCATGGTCAGCAGTAAGATTGAATCTGACCTATAAAAGATATTCTGTAAAAATGTGTAAAAGACAAGTTCTGTAAAAGATATTTTCTTGAATATATGTTTGAGGAGTTCAACAATTTATTTTATAATTTCTTTACTCTTCCTCATCATTGCAAAGAGAAGTCTTGTATTGCAGGAAATGTGTCTCTTATGCCAAGCACATCTAAATTTCCACAAAACTATTTGTCAGAGCTTGAAATATGCCTTTTCTTGTTGTTGCCAATATGGTCATGAAAATTCTATTAACCCCTTAACTGCCGTGGACAATGTACAAGATTCACTCTTCAGTAGTGCCACCATTTTTTACACTGGTGCACGTAGTTATGCGATGTATTGGGGGAAAATAAGTGCAAGTTTTGCTGTCTTAAAAACTTTACTTTCACAAAATAAAGAATAAAAGAAAAAATGAAAATACAAAATTTAATGTTTAGACTAAAAGTATAATAAAAAAGATGTAAGTATGATAAAAATGGTGATGATGATAAAAAAGTTGTATAATAAAAAAGAACCCCTGAAATGGAGTTTTGCTCAATTTATTTTTAGACCAGTAA